TTTGGCCGAAATCCCCGGACGATCCTTGCAGAACGAACTTTCCGACATAGAATTTGCGCAATTTTATTTCACTTTCCGTAAAGTAAAATTTTCTCTATACTTTTTTTGCGAAGTTTATTTATGGACTATTTTTTTTACATTTATCGACATTAAATGTCGGGTTTGTATTTTTGTATTTTTAATTGTCCTTGTAATATTCACTTTTCAAGTAATGCCAAACAAATTAAAATTATGTCTATAAGTCTTTCAGATGTAATTAACACATTCTCCTTTCTTGTAGTTATGTAAACATAACGCGAGAATGATAGGAAACTTTATTAAATAGAATTAAACAAAAAAAAAGCGATAAAAGAAAATTTCTTTATCAATAATTTTAATATGCAGTCCTGATGAAAGAAATTTCAAATCAGTTTATTAGATATAGTGGATTTTTATTTATATATTTATTTATAATATGGAGTTGTATGTGTCGAAAAATTGTGCCTATTGATGAAATTACTGATAAGAGAAAAGCGAACAAATAAACAATGTTATAAAAAAAGCTAAGAATGATATCTCTTTCTCCCAAAATACAGTACGGTGATGATTGAATATATTATGTATTAAGCTCATCAATTGAAACTGTATATGGAAATTATCTGTACTATAAACAGAATGTCTTGCCAATTAAATGTTTACAAATTTTTAATTTCCTAATGATGTAGGAAATCTGACACATATATATTCTATAATAAAAAAAAAATCTATCCTCAGAAAGCTGTATAAGCCGTAATATAGCAATAGCTGATGAGATATGATTTTCATTGCAATGAAAGTCCAATATGGCGTTGCAATTTTTATTTTACCATAAGTTATTGAATCCTACAAATTTCTCAGAGTTATTCAGCAGACAATCACCGAATAAAGGCAAAGCGAAGAACGCTAATGTAGCACTGCAAATTACAGATGTAGCCGTAATTACAGAGTCGATGATGAATCGACTTTCATGAATGGGAAAAGATGAACATTGCTGAAGGAAATTGAGATTTACACACGGAAGTTTATTCAGCAAAGTTTATCCGCTGAACATAATTTTAATTATTAATTGTTTGGTACTAAATATTAACTTTTTATTATAGCAATATTAATTTTTTAACATTCTCTAGTTAATATGCTTAAGCTTAATTAATATTACATAACATTATTTTTGACAATCTACAATTTGGCTGATTGTTAATCATTTATTCCGTATCAAAATTAATCTATAACTTTTTTATTTTTATGAAATATAATTGCTTAAATTTTTTGCATATAATTACATTGCTTTCCGTGCACAATCGTAACAATCGTGGTACGAACGATTGACAGCTTTCGGTTCACTACATTAAGAATTGCGTTGTCGAAAACGCGATTCCCTCTCGTTCGACTATAAATTAGTAATCTCAGCTCAACGTTGCGAATATCAATTTAGTGGCGTGCGATGCGCGATAAAACTGAAATAAGGGAGCTGGACGGTCCGCGACGGCGCATCGAGAAGAGTGCATACCTCTTGCCACCGTTACTGGCAGTTTCCTGCGATAACCCCAGCATTATACTCATCCCCGGTGAACGGGACGGGGAATTCACAATGGTCCACAATGACTGGGCCAACATTACGAATTAGGCTCGGTTACGCGTTTATTGCCGATTCCGGTTCGGGCCAGCGGCGTCGGTGCGTCCTTCCCCGCCGACGTCGAGGCGAATCGACGGCCGGGCGTCGCGCCGCTCGACACCGACGCCACTGCCGAGACGAGAAGTATTAGCATTGGTTAGCTTTATGGGGCGTTCAGTTCCGCCGTTCTCTCTCGGTTCTGACTCCGGACTCCGTGGCCCTCACTCATTCGCGAGAGTGAGATGAAGGGAGAAGGAGACAGAGAGCCGCCACGGTGCACAGATCAATAAAATCTGTCTGTCTAGAAAAGTAATGCCAAATTGGCTCTTCGCTCTCCCAACACGTATAAATGCCACAAAGAAAGCGGAACAACGAGTGATGGCTTAATTTCGTCGATAAGACGCCGATTTCAACATGAAATTTTGGCTGCTCGTGGAATTCTGGAAATGATCATCTGGAAAAAATATTTTATTAAGAAAGGGAAGAAAGTTAAATGTATATTCTGTGTGTGTGAGAACAATCTCCTTGAATGAATAAAGAATGTGACGAAATACAAAAATATGATTAATTAAAAACAGAATAATAACATCTTGAGGATGTCTCAATAACAAAAATTAATTACTGTCGAATTTAAATAACGAATGAATATCGTGGAACATTATATGCGATTCTTACCGGGTGTTTTTTGTATAGAATTATTAGTACTCTTTTTTTCTCTGTTTCTCTTTCTTTCTTCTCATTCTCTCGTTGTGGTGACTGGCGAGAGTCCGAGAGGGTGGAAATTGGAGCGCGGTAATTATTAATCAATTTCCGTATTAATTGTTTTCTGGGCGGCGAGCTTAAGTGGTATGTTGTGTTCTGGTTCTTGGCAAGCTCTGCCCCGTAACCAGCTAAAGTGTCATGTGAGAAGATTAATTACCGTCGCGGCTACGTTTTATGTGTGTCATACGAGCGGGTACTCTCTTCTTCGGCCGCTCGATACGACTCGAAGTAGGCGAGGTCACGTAAAATCTGTTTTGAAGGAAATCACCCAGAAGGACGGTAAAGTTTTGAAGTGCAGAAATATGACTGGCTAGAAAGATTCTGGAATGGCAACTCCCGGATCAGAATTTATATCAGATATAATCAATAAATACATATTATATAATATGAATATTAATAATCTACTATGTTTAATCCATTTACGCATTTAATGCCGCTAATTGTGAATAACCTTTCAAAACGATGTTTCATTGCAATATTAAAACAAATAATTGATGTTTTGTATTGTATTTTGTATTACAATGCTACATATTTCTTTGAAACGGGCAAATACTGATTAATTATGACTTAAAATAAAGAGATATAGGATTGTAATACTTTTAGCAACTAAGCATGAATCCCATAAGACGAAGGTCTCATTAAGCTTCCTGCAGAAGGGAAATATTTCTTTAAACAGACGTGACTCGCTGATCGTACTCAACAACCGTCCGGTTCCCTTCGTTGCGCGGGGAATGAATAAAAAAGGGGTACATGAAAATAAAAGAGATCCGCGGGAATGAGATTTCGCCAGTACTCCCGTTCCCGAGCCACGAAAGAGCCAAGTTAGTTTTATTTTACAATCCATCGGCTGCAGCGACACGCAGGGGTGGTATCCCGGTCCTTCATCGGTAGCGCAGTCGAAGAATAAGAGAAAAAGGGAGAGCGAAAGGGAAACGGGAAGAGCGAAAGAGAGACAGAGAAAGAGAGACGGAGGAATTCTTCAGGACGGTTGGACGGGCATCGCGACGGGGGTGGAACGGCTGTCAACTAGTGTTTTAAAAGTTTGCGACAGCCTACAAATTGACTCGCTCAGTTCTTTTTAAAAGCAGCGGCAACCAACCACGTCGCGCAACCCGCTTTCTGTCTGTCCTCGACGCCAAGACCGTGTCGACGACTGAAAAATCCAGAAGTATTACTCCTTGTCACGAGGGAAAGATAATTTAACAAAATATTGAACAGATCGTTTAACAAAAACATTTGTTATTTTTTTTTTCGTCTTATTTTAACGGATATATTACTTGTTTTAGATTACTTCATTCAGCAACAGAAAATTAATTTAATTTGATAAGTTGTGTTATTTATAAAAAAAAATATTTATTCCTAATAATTTTCTGGAAATGAAATTATAAATAGAAATAGAAATTTCTTTTATTAACAGTTTATAACTGAATATAATAGTAGATGTTAACAAAGTCTCACATGTATATGAATGTTTCAGTTAAAATTAATCAAGACTTAACAAAACATTTATCTATTTCTAGAGATAGAAATAAAAAAGAGTAACTTATCAAACAAAATTTTAAATCATCTCACATTTACTTTTGAAATGATATGAAATTGAATAATATAAAGATTGCTCCTTACTTCTTTCCAATATATACATACAAGTATAATAACAAATAGATAGTTATATGTGCTATTATTAGAATATATTTTCTTGAAAACATAATAGATATGTTATATGAAATCGATACGACAAAATATCTCCAATAAATTGTATCGAAAGCTTTTCTCTATCATCTATTGTACATTTGATCACCATTCTCAAGAGTATTGCGAAAAGTTGTGGCCATTCTCGGACAAATCGACTTCTATCTAAAGAGACGGTCGATCCTGTATTGCGAATATGCTTGCGTGCAATTCGAATCCAGGAAGTTTAAAAGTATTTCGACGTAAAACGCGGCCATTTCTCATATTTTCTATGCAAGCACGCTCCGCCGGGGGCGCATTTGATACACTCTATTAGTTGCATCTCCCGACTGATTTATGAAGTTACTCTCCGCATTATTATACATTTCCCCCGTTTCGAAACTGGGATTTACTGCAGCGAAGTTTAGTGGCTCGCGTATATTCCATTAGGCAAGGAAGATCAATAGATGTTCTGCCGGCTTAACATCTAAATTCTTAGAAATTTCGTATATAGCGTACGAATAAAAACATTAAAGAAATATAAATATAATATAATACGAATAAATATCTTAGACAAATCATATATTTTTGGATCAAATATTTTTACATATCTTATTTGAAATTTATATATTGTTTCGGACACGTTTAATTAAATTTACTTTCATTTAATATGTCCTTATTAAAATTTTATATTTTTTTTCGTGCGCGCGTGATAATTAGTCATTACGTTTTATGTAAATATTAATTATCACGATTAGTTACTAACAGGACCAAATATTTTATACATCAATCAATTGCTAAAATAAATACCAAAGCAAAAATTATATTAATAAAATAATATAATCCTATGAAAATCTTAGAGACAAAAATTTTTACGCAGTTAAACATAAGAGATGTGTTTATAAGTAGGTATTTATTTATATTATAAAATTAATTGGTTTTCATATTTAGTAAATAAATACATTATGTATAGAGCGCGTCTTAAACGACTCTTAGACGATCAATGTTATTACACAATATTTGATATTGTACAATATTATTGATTGTTTAGAAGCTGAACTTCTAGACAGTTTGTTTTAAATTGTTTAAAAAGAGCATCGATAATATTGTATAAAATAGTTGTACTATAACATTGAGCGTCTAGGTTTTATAAGTTATAATAATAATGAAGTATTAAGAAACTTCTCAGTCTTCTTCTCATATAGTTCTGTAAATATCATCCTCAATCCTATAAGTTCTGGCAAGTTTATCTCAGGCAAGTCTAGCTATCAGGATACCCAGACAACACATAAGATATCTTGAAGACGCCAAAAATGTCTCACATCTCTCTTTTAGATTCTTTGTGTTGTCTGGGTAGTTTTGGGATTGTTTATGCTTCTTCATGGACTTCCTTCTATATAGGCAGAATCGTCGACGGATGCGATTGTTCAAACATTGAAAAATTTTGCGAGAGGAAGGACGGTGATTTCGGATTGCTATTCGTGGACGTTGATACAATATTTAACATGAACGATTCACAATTTGCATCTCTACCTTGCTCGTTGTACCATTGATTTCGGGCTGCTTCCACGACCATCCAGAAATACACGCTCAACACTGTAATTATTGTCAATCATCTTTATACAAAATAGGCCATATTTTTTTTAATTTAATAAAATCAATTTATCTTTACGACAGGTTTAGTAACAGATCATTAAACATCATTCGGAAGGCTAGATGGATAAATATTTCTTTCATTTTTAAATACTTTTGTTAAGATTTCTTTTAGAGTAAAGTTGCTTTGATAGTGATTCATAAAAACATATCTTTTCGATCTATTTATATTATCAAATAATTTTCAAACTTTTATTTTAAGAACAAATTAGATTAATAGCGTTAGTTTGTGTTTAATCAATAGACTTCACAAATTCGGGCATACAGGTATATGTATTCAGAATTCAGTTATCAGAATACAATATTTACATTAAATCATAAAAAAAGGTTAGAGTACTTACCCAAATAGAGACTGCATATTGTAGTATACCAAAAATATAAAGCAGTTCGTTGATCATATATCATATGATTGCATAGCGACACAGCCTGATCTATTACGCTACCCATTTGTAAATACATCCAAGGCATAACGGCTATATGTCTCTTCTGTGAACGTACGCGGAAGTTAGCGTGATCGTTAGCGAGTTGAGACAAGGCTGTTACGTGCTCAAAATACATCTCGCGGATAAAGAATGTTTGACGAATTTGTATTCGATCGGCGATATCGCTACGACCTTTATCGTAAGAAAACAATGAAAATCATATACTTCGCTTACGAACAGAATATTGTAAAAAAAATTCTGTACTTTGCTACTAAATATTTTGCGAAGAAAGAAATTAAAAAGTTTGTAAAATTTCTCGGAATACTTATCGGAATTTAATAATTTCCAAAATTAACTTAGACATAAATAAATTCAAAATTAACATAAAGACAAAAAATAAAATATATTGCAAAGTTATCTCACAAATTAGTTGAATAATCTTCCTTCGTGTAATCATAAATTAAACAGTTTTGATATAACTTAAAATCGATTAGTTTGTGAGCAGAAAAAACTACTTAATTTTTTTTTGAACACTCACCGATAACGATCCTATAATAAGAAATATGCTCGCTGACAGAAACAAGATGGCATATATGAGAAAACATATCAAGGCACTTTCCGCTAAAATGTACAACGTTGTGTTATTCTGTACGTTTGTGGAAGCAATTCGCGTATTTAATAATAAGCATGTCAAGTCTTACCTTTTTTCTTCCCCACTGCGTACTTCTGTATTGCTTGCATCCAATTTAATCCTAGTATAGCCCAAGTCTTAACAAATTCGAAAAAATCATCATCGCTGTCTCTTGAAAAAAACTTGCTTACCAACACGTTTATTAATAAAATCGAAATGGACTGAAAAAAGAATAAATACAAAAGTTGAATGATTTACAAATAAATATAAAAATATATCTATTAATATAACGATTGATATAAATTTTCAAAACGGCATATCTTTGTAAAAAAATATTTGGACAATTGTTTAGGAATTACTCTTGTATTATCGTATTTTACTTATTTTTTAATAAAATAATTGGTTTAATAAAAGTTGGTTGAATAAAAGTATCTCTAACATAAAAGTAATACAAGAAATTTCCCTTAAAATACATCTAAACTCCAAACTTAAAATGACGTATGATTAATTAATTTGATTTTGAATTCAATAATAATCATCCATTATATTGGCTGCCTCGGCACCGAAAACATTATGTGCGTGCTTACACCAAAGGAGACTGAAGCAGGTTTTATATTCCATATTAGATATTCTTGATGTGTAATTATTATAACAATATGATAATTATTGTAAACATTTTTCGATATCACATTTCTTTTCTTCGATACGATTCGATATTAGAATTTAATTGTAAGTAATACATGAATTAGACAACGCCGCTGTACTATACGAATGTATGAAAAGATTACGGAATAGAATACATAAAATCTTGAACTTACCATCGTATACGCTCCGATCATCCTCGTCGCGAACGATACGCCGATATAACATATCATGACGAAAAAATCATTCGTGTGATCGCTTTGCCTCGCGGATACAAAATGAAGCCGGATCTTACGGCGCGGGCGTCACTTTTCGTGTTACCTTGTCAGACAACACTTGCACGTTGTAAAAAGTGTAAACACACATAGACGGAGGTAAATACATTTAAAGCGACAATCTCCAAAATTAATCTTGCTCACGGTTGTACCGCGCGAGCGAGACTCCCGTAACAATTGTCGTACCTGTTATAATTAACAGGAATAATTAACGTTGTTTCGTCAGTCGAATAATGTGACGATTGTCAGACAAGAGCCTGATTTAAGCAGGCGTCACGGAGAACAGAATCGTTAGAATCGTTCCGTATTGTTCGACTGTTATAGCAATATTGTTGTCTTAGCTATTACAAACTGGAAGAAACGTATTATTGGTACACCATTGTAATCATGATAATCAAACACGTCAGCGTTTTGTCATGTGTTTCTCAATAGAATCATCCCAAAAAAACTGCAAAGAATTTATCCAAAGGAAATTATACTTAGAAATTATATTAAAGTACACTTTATCAAAATGTTAGTTTCGATTGTGTATATGTACGCATGCGTGCACTTCGTTTTCAGTTATAAAAATTAAATTTTGACTAATCGTTTTAATTATATTATAAAAATTCTATGTATATTTAGAAGAAAAATATTGAAGTCTGAAAGTTACATGATTTTTATTTCCAGAAAAAATATGAAAACGTACATTGTATGTATAAATTACTTTAATAATAAACTTTAGTCTGAAAAATATGTAAATTAATAGTAAATTTACACGTTTATACTTACTTCAAATTAAATTTATATACATTTATTTAAAAATAAAAATCTCATAAATTTAATTAATATAAATAATCTCATAAATTTAAATAATATTTTTCATATATATAATTCATTTATATGTATATATACTCTCCATATATACATAAAAAAAAGATACAAATATGAAAATATACACTGTATGATATATTGTATGTATGTATGTATGTATATTAAAAGAGTATATATACATGTACTGAGAGTATATATACATATACTGTGTAATATGTGATATATGTAATATATATTTATATATTATATGTATATTGACACATTACACATAACTTTTATTTTAAAAAATAATACATAATTATTTTATAAAATAATATAATATATTCTGTATTAAGCATAATCGTATGTTGTGCAGTTCCACAAAATACAAATGTATATTAATTATATATTAATATAGTGTTATACAATTAATGTCAATTTTGATAAAAGAAATATATATATATGAAATATATATAATATAAGAATTTCTCATACAAACACTATTATAGCTCGGAAACACTGGGTCTGTTCTTTTTAGTTAAACTTCTTGCACGGTTCATCTTTTCTCTTTTTCTCTCCAACGTGAAGAGAAAAGGAAGAAAGATGAGTCGTGCAAGAGTTTTAACTAAAAAGAACAGACCTACTATAATCTCTGCTCCGCTTTGAGATACGCGCATGCGCCAGCATTCACGCAGTTCGCCACATGTCTTTTTACGGCGTGGTAGATGTTCTTACTTTACGCATACTTTATTTTTCCACACTTATATACCTAAGAAAAAAGTGATTTGTGATAAACAAACGTAATAATGACAACTCAAGACATGGATATTTGTTTAAATGTAACGGCGGGTCCAGCTGTTACAAAGAAAAAGGTAGGTACTTGGTTATAGTTAGATTATAGGTTAGGAAAAGTCTATAAACACTGCATATGTGCAAAGAATTTGCACAGATTTTATTCGATTTTTTGCGTGTAGAAAACTGAAAATATAAGAAAGAAATTGATGCATAACGTAAAATAAATGTTTATATTTAGAATAAACTGAGAAGAACCAAATCTTTCAAAACCTCAATTAAAAAGTTAAAGAATCAGTCTTTCCATAAAGATGCAGTACTAAATAGCAAAGAATCAAGAAAAATCACGGATATGCAGGAAACAGGGTACAAGAAAAGAATAAAACAGAAGTCATTATCAGCTATCTTTGCTAAAAAGTTAAAAGAAGCAAACTCTGTCTGTCGAAACATACTGCATCCTCAAATTCTATCTCAAGATAAAGACCTAACTGCAAAGCCAAAAAGAATTGAACAGTCTAATGTAATAAGCAAAAAGAATGTGAAATCTGATAAGATTTCTTCTACTGTGAACTTTAATTCCATAAATGAATCAACTGTGTCTTTTACAAATGCAATAAAAGAACATATTGATAGAACATCGAAAAAGAGAGATAAATCAAAGATTGAAAATCAATCAAAGATCAATCAATCAAATCAATCATTTTCCACTATATTTTCGAGTCAATTAAAAAATCAGAATGAAACAGATTTATTAAATTTGACTAAAAAACATAACATTCCTAAAAATAATTTTAAATTAGACAAGACATGTAAAGTAATTAATGAATCACCAGTTTTACAATCTGATAAGATTCCTTCTATTGCAAACTTTGATTCCACAAATGAATCAATTGTATCTTTTACAAAAACAACAAAAGAAAATGTTGGTAGAACATTGTTAGCAAAAAAGAGAGATGATTCAAAAAGTGAATCGAAAAAATCACTTTCTAATATATTTTCAAATCAATTGAAAAATCAAAATGAATTAGATGCTCCAAATTTAATACAAAAACATGGCATTTTTGAAAATAATTTTAAATCAAATAAAAAATATAAAGTAACTAAAGAATCACCTGTTTTAAAAAATACAAAAGAGACAAATATCTTGAATAAAGAGAAAGAAAAAAGAAGTAAAAAGAAAATTGTAAATAACAACAAAGAATCAGACGAAAATCTAAAATTAATGCACAGAGCTAGTGGAAAAATGTCTTCTTTATTTGGTAATAATCCCGACATACCAACCATAGGCCAGCGATTTGTAAAACCTGTAAATGAACCAGTTTTTACAGAGATTACTTTCGCAGATCTCAATATTCATCCATATATGGTTAGTATTTACGATAGCTAACATTTGCAAGGAAAATATTTGCAACAAAATAACAATTTATAATTCTTTTCACAGATATCAAATTTAAAGCAAAATATGGGTATAACTAAAATGACAACTGTTCAACAAAAAGCGATCCCTCAAATATTCTCAAATAAGGATGTTTTAATAAGATCTCAGACAGGATCTGGAAAAACATTAGCGTATGCTTTACCCATTGTTGAATTGTTACATAAAATTAGACCTGAACTTAATAGAAATAGTGGTTTATTGGCTCTTGTAGTTGTTCCAACAAGAGAATTGGCCTTGCAAACGTACGAGTGCTTTATAAAATTGATTAAAGTAAGTTAGATGAATAAATTTTGCATACATTAGCATTTATTAGACATATCAAAATTACATTTTTAATAATTTTAGCCTTTTACGTGGATCGTACCAGGTTACATAATTGGCGGGGAAAAGAGAAAAGCCGAAAAAGCTCGGTTACGTAAAGGATGTAATATATTAATATCTACTCCTGGTAGATTATTAGATCACATAAAACACACAAAAGCGTTGAGATTAAATGATGTTAGATATTTCGTGTTAGATGAAGCTGACAGAATGCTTGATATGGGATACGAAATGGATATTTCTAGGTAGGTTTCATATTTTTTTTATTTTGCAAAAGGACAGCATATTAATTTTGTATGTAAATTAATGCAAGTGTTATTTAATATGTTAATAATAAGAAAGTATAAATAATAATGTTAATATAATTATAATGTTTAAACAGTTATAATAATACGTTTTTTTGTGATTTAGGATAGTAAGTGCTTTGAAAGTATCATGTTCTAATGAATACGAAAAAGAATACGACGCTATGAAAATATTTAGACAAAATAGTAAGAAGATATTTACAGATGAAGAAATTAAAGAAACTTTAAAGAAAGATGATATGAAGTTCGAAACAGAAGAAAATAATACTGATAGTAATAAAAAAAAACAAATATATCATTCAAGTGACGATGGCGATAGCGATTATGCCGCTAATAGTATTGTATTATCAAAAAAAAAGAACAAAGATACAAAATATTCCGGTATAAATAAAAAATCTGATTCGATAGTAGAAAATATTCAAAACATCAAGCAAGATTATGAAAATCAATTGAATAGGCAAACAATTTTATTGTCTGCGACTTTGACACAAGCTGTTGAAAAATTAGCGGGTCTCACGATGCATGATCCAATCTTCGTAGACGCAGCTAAAGAAAATTTAGAAGTGAGCGGGGGAGATATTAGCGCGATTAATGAAGACCTAATAGTTCCGCAAAGTGTAATTCAGAGTTACGTAGTTACTCCGCCCAAATTAAGAATGGTCACTTTAAGCGCTTACATCGCCGGGAGATGTCAGGTAAGAAAATCTCCATGTTATCAATAATATATTGCATTATTGCATTGATTTACGATTAGTGGACAAGTAGCATTTTCCATTTTTTTTCTATAGACTCCTGGACAGCATAAAATACTGATTTTTATGGCTACACAAGATATGGTAGATTATCATATCGAAATTTTGTCTTCTATTCTTACGAAACCAATAGATGATGATGACGAAGACTCCGATCCGCTGGTTGATGTAGAATTCTTTAAACTACACGGTAATATGACACAGAAGGAAAGGACAGAAGTCTTCAAAACTTTTAGTCAAGCGAAAAGTGGAGTACTATTGTGCACAGTAAGTCATACGTTTTATCGATAATAGCATAAAATACTCGAAATGTTTACGAATATATTGTGGACGTTAAGTTTTTATTCTTTTGCACATTATAAATATTTAAATTTCTTTATTTATTTACTCTTAAATATACATTGCACGTCATAAGATGTTTTACTTGGAGCCAATATATATATATATATATATTTTTTTTTTTTAAATTAATTATATAAATAAAAATAAAAGCGTATAAGAGAGATGGGAGCGTTGAAAAATTAAGAGAGAATAGCGACGAAAGAATAACAACGAAAGAAAAGCCAAGAATATCTGTCGGCACTCCCTGAGCTGTAAATTACTTCGTGGCTTATTCTTTCAAGAGGGAATTTAATACCTCTGGACCCACGCTGTGTTCGGAGGTTAAAAATTATGCAGACGCATGAAACCTTCGTAATAAGTATAATTACGATCATTTGTCTGTTCTCCGTATTGATGCTTTCTTTACTTCACAGAGCAATTGTTTATAAAAGTCAATTGCAAATTTTGCAATAACAATTTTTTTCTATTATTTTTTTTGTTAATTATTAA